TTATTACATCCAACACAACCTTCTACAGAGACACATCTGACTTTCCGCAATCTATGGATACGAGTTAGTGGTGTCCGAAGCTCACTGGTCATTCGAAAGTATCTGGTTGTCTTACCTGCACTCCGTACATACACGTCGTTGCATTGTGAATGTAGATTAGTTTTGTTAATATCCACAGGCGGTCATAACTGGACCATCACACAGTGCGTTCCAGCAAAAGAATATAGAGATACAAGAGTGGCTGGCCCTCTGGTGAGAAATAAGCACCGCTTTACGGTCGACCAAGAGTGACAAGGTGGAGTCTCATTCGCCCCCGGAGCAGCGATAGCGATAACGGCCCCTTCTTAAGCGACCGTGGTCCCCGCCTTGGGCCCAGAGCTCATCTGTCACGGCGGCAAACCCCCGAAAATATTATTGTGGGTCGAAAAGAGGCCGCATTTAACGAAGGAAGATAGAGATGGGAGGGGAGGTAGAGAATGAAACTGAGGGCCCCGGAGATCTAGTCCGACTGATGCCTCAGGCATCACCCCCCCCCCCCCCCCCCCCTTGAACTGCCTCCCAGCCGACTCAGCAACTCTAGCAATTCTGCCAACTCATGTGCTCATACAATTAGTTACCCGTACCCAACCCTTCTATATGAAGAAGCCACACAATAAGCCATACGATACTCATGATAGACAATGCCACCAATTACATTAGATTCTCTGGATTATGCTGACTTGAGGTTTTAGAACAGTTGTTACTTCCTCCTATATGCCACCGTCACATTGCGCGACCATGGAGAAAGGACACTCTGAGCTCGGAGAACAAGACGGAACCATTGGACGAGACCGTTTCGCACGGACATCGCCGACCCGGAGGCGATCAGGAGATACTCACCGTTTTGCTTGTAAACAAGGCCTAGAGATATAGGAAGTAGCAGAAGGGGAGAGCCTCTTTCTTGCCCTAGTCAATGCAAAGATTCCCGTGCTTGACCACCCCATCGACTCCCAAGTAGCTCGACCAGTGCATCGCCGCAATTGTAAAGGGCTCACACCTGCAAAAGAAAGAAAGTGCGATAGAATGCTGTTGTATTGCAATGACAGAGCTATGGAAGAGGAGAGGTAGGAGGGGAGCAGAAGAGGAGTGACCCAGAGGGGTCATTTGACCGACAGCAACCTCACACAAAATGAGGTCTTGAAAAAAGTGACAATTGCCGCAAGGCGCGAGTCAGGAGGAATATCTTCAAGAATTTCCAATGCACAATGGTACTCGCAACCCCAGCACTTAGAAATGATACCTCTCCCTTGAGGGCTTGTGATGGCATCAAGTGATGGGAAGATCTTGAGTGCAAAGAGTCGCTGGATCTCTTCATCCGGCTTCCCATCATACGGCTTCTTGCCCTGCAGTATTTCGTATATAGTAGACCCGAGAGCAAATAAATCGCTCTGTACGGTGTTCGGAGATTCCTCGCTGCGCGGGAGGAAATGTGAAGCTTTCTCCATAACAATTGCCTCGGAGCTGTGTAAAGAAGAGCCACCAAAGTCAGATAGTCGAATATTGAGCCTCTTATCAACCAACAGCTGACGAGCACTGAGATCAGAATGAATGACACCTTTCCTGTGGATAAAGATGATGGCTTTGATGGCTTGATAGATCATGCGATATTTGATGAGGTCGGACAATTGTGCTTTTTTTTAAAAAACACTCAAGGTCACCATTTTTTTCAAATTGGAGATCGACAAAATCATCACCCCAGGCGATGCATCGTGCAACACGTTTGTTTTTACCCAGATGCTTGTATACAGAACGTTCAATCTCTATTGCACGGGTGCAATAGAAGTCGGCTTTGTCAGATGGAACTTTCCGAACGACACTCTTGTTCAGCTTGTGGATTTTGGTGAATTGGCCGACGCCGATCAAGTTCTGTTGACATGGCTGCTCTGTCTTCCTCTGCCAAAGGGAGCGCTTTGAAGACATTAGTGGGGAATCGATAACATACTTAAGTAAGAGACTTGGAAGCATACCAAGCTCATTGTTGCAAAAATCCCTACTTGTTGCCTGTGAGCCTTTTGTTATAGGATAATGTCTGAAGTATTGGGGCAGAAAGAAATGGCAAATAAGATCATGAGGAGTATCTCAAGGGATAGTCAGGTGACCAGAGTATCAGGGGTGGCTTACCGTCTTCTGGGTGAGTTGAACGGATAGTATTGAATACATAGTCACTTGACCCGCCAACCCAACCTTTCATGAAAATCCAACGCTGACTTAATTAAAAAATCGGTTAGTTTCAGTACATACGACCACAGGGTGTGGAAAACAGGGCTTCCCGTCCGCTCAGCCGTACTTAAGCCACACGCCGGTGAGTTAGTAGTTGGGTGGGTGACCACCAGCGAATCCTCACTGTTGTATGTTTTGGTTTTTTTGCTTTTGAAGCTTGCTTGATATTCCCTGAAATAATGCAATTTCTTTGGGCCCAGCCCACCGTTATGGTGGACTTCATGTTGATTCGGATTCAAGATTTGTAGAGATGAAAATCCAAAACGAGGAAAGAAGAGAAACTGCAGCCCGTATTCAGGCATACTTGATACTCCGATCATTTTCTCTCAAAAAATGTTGATAATAATTTTTATTTCACCTCGAATACAATCCAAGAATACAATCCAAGAACAAAGAGTACGGAGTACAATCGGCAGAATGCGTAACCGGCTGCCATACCTGGTGCAAACCAAGCAAACATGTGACATCGATCACATTCTCCTCGCAGGCGAGTCTAGTAGATCTAACGAAGTCGCCTAACCAAATTGGGATTCCGTCGATATAGCTGCCTGGTATTGCTACAACGGACGTGGACATTTGAACGCGTATCAATCGAAAAAAATCAGACCGGGAGCCGAAGCTTATCGCTTTCAGAGAATATTTCGCCACCAGTCTCCCTTCCTTTGTCCTTCAAACGCCATGAATCCATTGTCAATACTCAACACGTCAACCTCAAAACCCTTTACAAACACGATTCTGCTGCCGTGCGCGGATGGCCGAATTCCAGCATTACGTACCATTGGTGCGAATGAGCCACGGAAGAAACGCGCCCATACTAAGAGCAGACGAGGTTGCATCGCATGTAAACTTCGGAAAGTCAAGGTTTGTATCAATTCCCGTGCTTGTCATGAATTCATCAAGGTTGAGGCTCATGACTTAGTGTGATGAACGAACTCCGTGCTCCAATTGCGTCAAACGCAACATACAATGCCAGCCTTCCCCGTCTGGTCTTGCCCCTGAGAGGACCGGGGCAAACCCTCATCGCGAACTGGATCTTCATCCTCAGATTAGTCTCCTGCACTTGGAGTTATTTCACCACTGGGATAAGGAAACTCGCTCGACGCTGTCATTTCCACAGATCTGGCCAGTCGTCATGCAACGCGCTTTCAATGTAAACTCACCCTTCGATCCGGAGAATTGACCTCGCTCATCAAATATAGGACCAATCAATTATGTCCAGCATTCTCTGCATTGCTGCTATGCATCTTACCTATCTCAATCCCGAAAGTAGTAAATACGCACGCGTTTCAACGCAGTTGATGTCCCGAGCAGTTGGTCTCTTTCGCAAAAGCCTATCACATCCTCTCACGTCGGATAACTGTGAGGCATTGATGGGAACGGCGCTTCTGATCAACTACATATCATGGTTTGATCTAGGTTTTTTGAATACTTCCACTCATCCCGAAAGGAACCTCAATATCGGCCAGGACCAGCTCTTCTTCCTAAGTCCGTGCATTGTTCAACTATGGTTTCAAGCTATCCCGATTTTGATCGAGCAAGGGAGCATCTTTACAGAGATCATGTTTCATCACCCACGACTACATATCGAGCAAGCCCTGAGAGAAAATGGAGTGGAATCATCGAACTTCTTGGAATCCCTTTTGGAAATCCTGGGTGGGTTACCCGATCGGGCTTCAAAGTTGGGGGCTTCCCAAACAGGCAATGGGGGGACACTCTCAGCTTGGAGATTCCTTTCCAGTTTGGAAAAAGAAACCCCATGGCAAGAAGGAGATCTTCAGTGCGCGGCGTCAGCTGAAAGTCACGATGAAAGAATGTTGATGCATGTGAAAGATGCCGCCTCACGGATTTGTATCGATTATTCCTCGGCAGCCTCCCCAACTGCGACATCTTTACCGTCGAACACTCAATCCCTATTTGCAACTATCCTACGCAGCCTCTCGACACTCTTGTGCTGTGCATCTCTCATGACAGCGTCAACCACCGTGGAGTACTCCAGCATAGTCCATCAATCGGACATCGAGGAGCTCCTGTTTGGATTTCCCATTCTCTGCTGCGGGCCATTTACCAGTTTAATTTTCGAAGAAGACTCGCGAGCTCTGGCCATTCTCTTTCGGTTCTATCATGTGGTAGGTCGGCTTCTGCCACCAAGCAGATGCTGATGGGCACATCCCAGGAGCTGCTTGATGGAAGAGCTGATTGGAAAGGAACTGGAATCTCGGGGCCTCGAATATGCCCTCCATATCTAATGTTGCTCGCCACAAGCTCTCCATTATTACGCGTTCATGAAAAAGCACCTGAATTCTTGTCCCCAAATCGTGTGATGGCTAGGGAGAGCATTGATCGAGATAGCTCTGCATACTCGACATACAGCAATCAAGGGAACTTGGGTTGCAAAAAGCTTGGCTCTTCCAAGGCTGTATACCTAGATGGGCATCCCAAGGCAATCAGGCCGAATATTTTCTCATCTGCACGTCCTTTATACCACAAGACATCTTCCATCCACCAAAGCAATCACTCAAAGATTAGTCGATACATTGCACAAATTTGCAGAACTCTTCGTCGGCCCTCAACATGCTCATCTCAGACTCCTTCAGACAAATTCCAAACAGAATCCCCCTTTCTTCCGACCTGGGCATCAAGTTGACCCATCCTTCTCCAATAGGAGGCAAACATGGCCGCAGCACATTTTCCGGCCTTCCAAGTCCCAGATTGAAGCTATCGCCATAACAGTCCATCTTCGCCTAAGAAGTAATCAATACATCAACGGATGGCTTGAGATACTTTAGAATGGGTGACTCGTGCGGGCGGCGAGTCATCAATGTCATGACCACTCGCATTGCATCTCCAAGCTCGGAGGTACTCAATTTTTCGCGCAATTGAGTTGCAAGTGCGTCGAGAGGATGATCTAAGATCTCTCCGACATTCATGTTGTTGAACGCCATGTTCTGCATCATACCAGGATAATCTTCTGCAATGCCCATTGCCTTTCTCACATCCACTGCTCTAGCCAGCAACGATCTACTCGAAGTTTCAGGATGCGGAAATCGTGCACGGGTGATCGTTTGCCAGATCAATGCAGTAAGAGCGTCGTCTGTCGATACGAATCGGGGAATAGGGACTGATTCAGTTGCTTTCCGTTTGAGGCTCGTGAGAGCCGACGGAGTCGCTTGGAAATACCCCCAAGTAATCTTCGCCGGCTGTAGAAGACTATCGTCTTGCGATGATCGGTTTGATGTTGCTGAATCAGCTGTCACATCATCAGTCTGCCTGTTGAGCCGACAAGCTATCTCCGCTTTGAGTTCATCATCATCTTTCCCCCCAAACAAACCGAGATCAGCATCCATCTCCCGATTTCCTAGACGTAGCTCTTCTTCCATGAATCCAATCCCATGACAAGCCTTGCTCAGCAGCCGTATCATCGTTGTCTGTCCTGTCATATCCATTGCGCTGTGATTCGCTGCGAATGTAAGTACAACACCACCCGTGATGAACGTCATCCGTAGCAGGAAGACTGGCGCTGGATCAGATGGACTGGGAGCTTGTCCGAGAGGAATTAGACGCGGTGCAAAGACTTCCGGATCCAGCATTCGCATCGACCAATTCGCTTGTCTGAACGCTTGAATCGAAAATTCGGGCCTGCATGCAGTCTGGAATGGAGGTGTTTCTTTGAATGGTATGATTTTTGGAACTTGAAAGCTGCCTTGCGCGTCCTTTGTGCCAGAAACTTGTCCCGCTATCCATGGAAAGTGTTGGGCAAGAGACTGCAGACCCTCGGTTAGGGTCTGGACGAGAGGCTCTGTGGCAGATTGATTGGGACTCCCATCCAGATAGAAGATGTAGCTTAGATTGGTGTACATCAATCTGAGCATGGGGTGCTGTCCCAAAATGTCGACTTCCAATGGTAGTGCCATATTTGTTGAACCTGTTTCTGGTCAAAATGGATGCAGAATAGAATTTTGTTCACAGGTGACGGATTAAGTGCTATCGAAGGGACATCACCATGAACGCGAACATAGGGGGGAATTCAGGTCATATAAATATGGCATAAACTTGAGAAGGTACCGAGTTTTCTACCTATCTTTTCTGATCTCGCAACCCCGATTGGGAAAACGAAGTAGTTTCGATTCCCGCATTCCCATTTGGCAATGCGAAGTCCTAATCGGGTTAGTGGCCATAGCGGATCTTAACCTCCGAGCCTTGAAAAGTGGAGAAACCGTACTAACAGGGGAGGCGGTTGCCTTTGGCAGAATATGGGCATTTTCACCCTTTTCTCTCGAACTCGTACTCTCAGTGGGTTTTCTATGCGCCGCGTGAATCCCAGACTATCGATTGTCGGTTATAAAAATGAGGAACGTGAGAGGTGGCTTTCGTCCGGGAAGACACAGGTGGTCCATCATGGCAACATCGTAGTAGCTCTCTGGAATGTATGGAGTAGTACCTTGGGTCTGCATGGTACATCCATGGTTCACGGCTTGTAAGTGTCCGTTGCCTGATTTGGGCTCCAAATGCATCAATTGAATACTCATTGGAACCACTCATCCCAACACTATTATCAAGATGTCTCCTCAAAACTCAGACCTCAGAGCGCTCGATATGCTCCACATCACCGATCCACACCCGAAAAAAGCTTCAGCCTCTATGATCTGTTCTTGGAGTCCACAAGCAAAGGAAGCTTTGCCTTTGCTCCTTCCCTGATTTCCCTTTGCTGTTCCTGCATTCCTCCTCTGCTCTTCTCCCACTCTTTTCTTACTCTTCTTTTACTCTTCTTTTACTCTCCTTTTACTCTCCTTTTACTCTTCTTTTACTCTGTCTTGCTTTGCTTGCTCTGCTTTGCTCCACTAAAACTCACCATATTCTTCCACTGCATTAGAATCTGCCTCGAAATAATTATAATGGAGAAAGCCAGCGATAGCTTTCCAGATTTTGTTGAATACAACCACCAGACTGTCGCTCCTATCTGGGAACGATGGACCAACTGTCCCCCCGGAATAATCAAGCGCCAATGTGATGATTTCGAAAACGGCATTCCGTTTATTGAAATTGCCGAGGGCCACCTTGAAGCCAAATCTGATAGCTGGGATGAAGATGATTCCGCATGGGTCGATGGCATTCTGGAGGACAGAATGAACCTCAAAGCCATACACGGCCATATGTACTCAACCAGAAATTACACCCTGATCAATCTGGATGTACGTTCTAACATCAATCACTCCTGCTCTTGACACAGAAACCTGACAGAACAAATCGAGTCCAGCTTCCCAGAGAGAAGAAGAGAGAGCGAGAGAGAGATCTATCTACAAGGTCGGGGCGCTCCTCAAACATAACATCTTTTGATGCCAGCTTTTGGGCCCAGGCAATCCTAATTCGACAGCTCTCACGGACGAGATCTGAGAGCACAAAGGAAATCCCCTTGAAGGAGCATAACGATTATCACACCCCATGTGAATACAATACACGGAAGCAGGAAAAGCCTACTCACACTCAAGCAGATAGAAGCTGAGCGCCAAAGCGTCAACATTTGCGAGGAACGAGTCCACGAGTCAATTCCCTGGGTAAAAGGGGCACCCCGTGAAAGAAGTCTACAATCTGCTTTCGTGAAACTCTTTACGACCTCTTCAATGGGTCTAGCTATATCAGGCACTGGAGCCGGAAACAGGATCACCAGGGACCAGTCGTCATTGAGAAGGGGGTTCATCGACGCTCACAACACCGAGAGCCGCGAGCTGGACTCCATCTGATGCCCAGTCCTTGGACAGTGGATAGACCAAGAAATGGTCAAGGCATCGCATATTTTTCCATGGAAACATGGGCAGGCAACAATGGATGCTATTTTTGGAGAAACCAGACAATCTGACACGTTCTCGGAAGGAAATGGCCTCCTAATGCACACAAGGCTAGAAGAAGCCTTTGACAAAGACGTGTTTGTCATTATTCTAGACCTACCAAATGAACCAATGGAGGCTCGGCAAGGACCGAGAGTTCCGGGTCAAAATCCTGGACCCCGAATGGAACAAACTGAATAAGCCGGTTGCGTTGGGCCTGAAAACATTCCGGGAACTAGACGGCACAAAGCTGGAGTTCTCCAATCCAAACAACCCCAAAGTCATGCACAGACCTGCAGCAAGATATCTGTACTTTCATTACTGCATGCAAGTCCTTCAGAAGGCATGGCAAAGCCGAGAATGGCAGATCTTTCTGGGGGACCAAAGGCAGATATCTCCTTCGCAACATGCTCTTAGCGTTTGTCGAAGAGCTTGGCCATGACTACGAGGACCTACTCGAAGGCCCCTCTTGTGTGAACAGCAATGAAAAGAATTTGTTGCTGGCCGTTGCAGCGATGGTTTTTCATAGTCGAGATCTTGTTTGATCAAGGCATGAAACATTGGCACTATATGAATCGAATTTCCTTCGAAATTGAAAGCCTCGATGAAGCGCTTCCGGAATTTCCAATCGACTCGAACCTTGCCAGGAAAGGTCAAATTCCTTCCCAAATCACAATCTCTGCCCAAAATTACCGGACAGAATCTCTCTTTCCCTTCTTCCGCTCTCCCAAACAAAGCGCGCGGCATCAGGCCCACACATCGATTCAGGGCTCCTGTTGCAGGATGAAGAAGAAGACGACGACGAGTCGGAGACATCCTCAGTAGAGGCCAATTGAACCCTGCAACCCCTTTTTGGTTTTCTTTATCATTATTACAGGCAGTTGTCTTTTGCTTCTTCTTTATGTTTAACACAGAAGGTTATCTTTGGGCTTTGCTTTATTTCGCAGTGCAGCAGACTTCTGTTGCAACTTCATGGCTGTACCGGTTACTTATCTATATCAACGCGTGAAATAGCTTAGAAGTGGCTCTATAGATATTTATTAAGTCTTGCCATGTCAGTTCAGAGTTGAGCCAAAACGCTCGCTTCATTCCACGATAATCAGTAATATAGCTGCCGGGTGTGTTTGCCTAGGAGTGCTACATCAACTCGTTTTGCATGTCTCCCTATGTTCACTGGCAGATCATTGCTGCGACTGCTTGGAACCGTGCGATATCTAATGTTTTGACTTCATTCTCGGGAAGCGCTCTTGCGGGAGAGCATCTTCTTATGTCGCGGCTCTGGCCTGTTCTTCAACCAGACCCCGCAGTTTATTGTCTTCGCTCTTTGAGATCCGACGGATATTGATCTAGTTTCCATTTCTCCGTAGCTTTCTCATCAACTTGTACAGTTGGCAGACGAACTCCTGGCCTAACTGTTGTCGAGGATTCCTTGGTGTCAGAGCCGCCGCTTTCAAGTATTGATTTGTATTACTAAGTTGGGTACGCTTGATAATACATTGTAGAGGTGGCAGCATGTCTTCCTACATAGACCCTCTACCTTTCATCCCCTTCGATCCTCATCCGCATCCTTCACGGGGCACAGCCAGTTCCGCAAGTCAATACCGGTTTGCACCTTAAGCCTACTTCCATAGCGGTCTTGAAGACTCCATCCTCGATAGCCATCTTGAAAATCCTATTCTCTCAGTAGACCGACACGCCCGTCCGTCCTCTCGAGCCATATAGAAAGTGTCGGATCTGCAGTCCGCCCACCCAGTCTTCCGTCGCTTCCATTATACACTGCGCCCCACGGATTGTCAAGTCCATTTCACGTTACCTTGTAAGATCTCTCTGACAAGGCCGACCGTGTCTCGCAGGAGTTTGCCCAGTTGTAATTTCTCTGTACCCAGAACAGCCAAGCAACACATTGTTGCCCCTCCTACTAACCCAAGGACCTCGTCGTTCTCTGTGTGGATTCACGCATGCTGGGTTGTGCCGTGTTATTCGTGGTTTTTCTTTTGACTCTGTCGTACGTGTATGCTCGGACCCAGCGATATCATCCTTTCAACAGAGCAGCTCGAGAGCACCCCGAGGGTGGGGAGAGTCGCAGCTCCTGCTGTTGCCTGGGTACATCAGAAAGTGGGGAAACCTTGAGTTGAGAAGAGATATGGCTGACAGGCTGGATATCGAGATAAGTAGGATCACAAGCATAATCTACAAGTAGGTAGCAAGGTATTGTAAGTCACTTTTTGTGTTGCCGGTACAGAGTAGGCCCGTAGATTGTCACTTAGACACGGAATGTGTGGGAGGAAAGTGACACCTTACCAAATTCTCAAGGCCCACTCTGTGAGGCGGCGGGCACAAGGATTGTGGTCCATTCACTAAAGAGGTCTAAGCTAAGGAGAGAAAGGAGGAAGAAGAGGGGAGGGGTCTACTGAGAGGATTTAGAAGGGTTGGGTGCCCGGGTCCAGGTGTGTGGGAAAAAATAGCACCTATTTTTACCGCTCAGCTAAAAAGGTGCACACCTAATATAGCCTTGCTAATCAGGTGATTTATGCTCATATTTTCTCCGTCAAGGTGCTGATGCCTCATCCCTCAGGCACCCAACCCTTCGATCCTCACACACTCCAGCTCCTTCCTTATGTTTGACTTATTTGCATGCCAATGGAAAGTTTCACCTTTCCCATACAAGCCGATTCACGAAGTCATATTATCCTTGAGGGTACGATACTGTATAGGTACTATTTCTGGAATATTGATACTCCGAGACTCTTCCTAACTTGGTATAGTATGTCTTGGCACTGGGGTTCGGGAAGCAATCGAAGAGTGTAGGTGGTGACGCCAGTTTCGGGAAGTACTGTATTGAAATCGATGAAATTAGACGCTGTGGATAGTGGGAAAGCTTTTAAATACACGTGATGGCAGCCCTGGGGATAGAACAGTTGGTGTACAGCTATCTATCGGTAAGATACAGTCTTCTAACTGATTGGTGCATGGTATGTCCGGAACAACAAGGCATCTGTGAGGCAAGTCACCCTTCGAGCATGACGGCCAATCAATCTGGACCACGTTCTCCCAATACCTGCATCTTTTTAGTGCTTATGGCCCTATTGAATAAGCGCGGGGTAGTTCTTTGCGCTTGACAAATGATTAAGCCCAGGTGACCAGGTATTAAATTAGTACTTATATACGGACTGAGATGGTAGGAGTAGATTGTTCAGACTACCTATGCTTAGTGGGGTCTTTAGTTACCGATTTGTCTCCGAGGACAGACGAACTGGTCCATCACCTTGACCAAATTGAGATTTGCAAATTCCCTGCAATGCTCACAGAGGCTGAGCTAGAGGCCACAGTCTCATTGGGTGACACTCACCTAGGATCATCTACAGATAATGATGGGGCGATAACAGGAAGTGTGCATAGTAGCACGGTGATTGGTAATTTCATTTTCATTAACTCAAAATCGTTTAACAATCTCACAAATCGAGCAGGTCGACAGAACAATATCTATCATCACTATTCTACAAGACCAGTTGAAGGTAAAGAGATTCGATAAGATATACGTTCCCTATTTATGGTGTTCCAAAATGACTAACTGCGTGCGTATATCAAATAATTAGCCGCCATCCGACAGCCTGAAAAAGCTGACAACATACCTTTATGGCAAAATCCCAAGTTCTACGGGCGGCAGACCGAGCTATCAAATCTCCACACAAAATTGTGCACGCAGGCACTATCTGCCCCCAAGAATCGTCAAACATCATGTCTTATACATGGAATTGGAGGTGTTGGGAAAACACAAGTTGCTTTGCAATATGCCTATCAGTGCCGAGGGTGCTATGACTTCGTTTTTTGGGTTCACGCTGAAACTGAGCCCGTTATGACTCGGGATATGATTTCCATTGCCGAAATTCTTGAGTTGGATCGCCCACCAAATACTGGTGATGGTGCAGTTGTAAGTTCGGTCCGGAATTGGTTCCAAAACACTAGTATGTTATATATTCGGTCCCTCATCGGTTTGGAGTTTTATTTCTGACAGACGAAGACAGGAAATGGCTTTTGATTTTCGACAACGTGGAATCCTTGGAGAGCTTGATCGCATGTCGTCCCCGGTCAAAACACGGCTCGGTTCTCTTGACCTCTCAAAACGCTTCTCTTGGATCTCAGACAACGTACAAGATCCTCTTAAACCCATTTGGTCCTCTTGATAGTCGGAGCTCGCTTCTCAGCTATCTAGATGACGATGAAAATAGTCAAAATGACTCGCTTACAGCTGATGATGACGATGCCACATTACTCTGTCACGAGTTAGGGGGTCTACCGATTGCAATTGCTCATGTTGCAGGATACATGGCAGAGTCGGGTGTATCTGTAACACAAACATTAGAAATGCTGAGAAGCCGCCGAGAGACGGCTGATATATTTGGAGGCAAGCCAGATACAACCTTTGGATACCCGAGGACTCTTGGTCTCATGTGGGATATTGCACTAAGGGAGCTGAACGAACAGACCCTCAAGGTGTTACAGGTTCTCTGCATGTTGAGTCCAGACTGCATACCACTGGAGGTATTTTATGGCCCTCATCCTGAGCCAAATCTAGCATTCCTATCAAGCATGACACGGACAAGGTTTGTATCCCTATCGAAGAATTTAGCCACAAAATCTAATGTGAAGACAGGCTCCTGGCTATTATGAGCAGCTTATCTCGTCGGCAGCTTATTTCCAAGTGGCAGGAATCTGGAAAAAGCTACCTTGCAATCCACCGAGTCCTGCAGCGCTGCATCCTGCATCGCCTCGATGGGCAGGACGGGGAAACCCAGGAAGTCTTCATGGTTACATTTGCGCTTCTGCGTAAGGTCTTTCCACGTCAATCCTCAATCCAATTTCCCCAGAATAACCAGTGGAACGTGTGGGAGACTTGGAGTCCTCATATAATGAACCTACGGAAGGTTTATGAAGAGTCAGAGGGCGGAGTATCTCCATCAATTAAATTTGCTGAAATCCTTGGTGATGTTGCAAACTATTTCTGGGAGCGCAACATGCTCCCAGATGGAATCATAGCCAGTGATTGCGCAGGAGAGATATGTGAAAAGCTGGACGGGCAATTCCTTCACCAACAAGGTCATATTTTAACCCTCGGTGCATGCATTCGGCTTGAAAGCGGCATATCCACGCGTTCCGAGTGTTTCCGCTTGATGAACAAGGCGCTGGTGGTTCGCCAATGCCATATGAATATGCTAATTCCCAGCCAAGCTACTGAGATAGATGTACAAAATTATGCCAATGCATGGAGCAATCTTGGCTGGGCTCTCTCAAACTACGGGTTCTACGAGGAAGCCATTGCATACTCGGATTTTGCCATTGCCATCCGCAGCCGAATTGGCTGTGGTTCGATTAAGATCAACGCAGATACCCTGACAAACAAATGTCTCTGTCTAGCGGCGCTAGGAAATTTCGAAGAGGCCAAGAAGCTAATCGTCACTGACCATGAGATTCAAAGCTGGCCCCTAGACTTTTTGAACTCTGTCTATGCTTCCTTGCTGAAGTTCAAATTCTATTGGGCTACGATTTACCTTCAGGCAGGAGACACCGAAAAGGCTTATGATATGATAAAAGCTGTCTCGGCCACCTGCTCTGCGTACTTTGGTCCTTGGGGGAGTCCTACTCTTGATTGTTATTACATCATGTCTCTGGTTCAAGAAAGAAGGGGAAATATTGAAGAAGCTAAGTATGTGAGTTGGGCACTGGTCCTAATAATGCCGTCAACTAATCATTTACGTTTAGAGACTTGTTGAGAATGGCCCTCACCAGGCCAGAGAATTGGATTGAAGAGGCCAAATTACGGGCACAGTATCATCTGGACAGAATGCAAACTGCTACAGCAAACACAACGAGCAGTCACATCTGCGTTGCTTCTTTACGAAACGCAAAAAAAAGACTTTGGGATCAGCACGCAGTCTACGTCCCACGTGATGTCAACCTAGATGAAACCACCATTTATGATCATATGGTAGCACTTTCATCTGGAAGAACGTCATTTGGAAAGAATATCCCAGGGAAAACACCGGAAATAAACAAGGTGTGCTCTTTTTTGAAGAGTGCACTTGAATCAAACCTGCCAGATGGCGAAACTTTCACAGCACAAGAAGTTGTCCGTTGCCTGAAGTATGCCGGTCCAATCCCAGAGGAACAGTTCTATTATCGGAAATAGACATTGTGATCTCATAGCTCTTCTCTGACATGTTCGTGATCTCCCTTATTTGTCTGCACGAATATTTCCCCAGGCTCGGGCAGATCAGCATCATGCTTCCACCAAAGACAAGAGACGTTCGAGCCATTCTGAGAGTCAAATTTGATTATGTGATATTCAATTGGAAAAACGAACTCTCGCGCAAGCTTCGCAGACTCATCATGCGTCAACGTCCAAAAGAAGCTGTCTCTCTGATAAGGGAAAAGTCTGAATGCATCTGCATTTCGGCCCATGTATGCGACCTCGAGACCTTTTTTGTCTTTGGTATATCTGATTTGAATAAAAAAATTGCCAGCCGCGTTGAAATATTTTCCAATGTACGCATCGAGGGGCCTAGAAGGCTTCTTCACTGTCCGGCCTGCGACAAGCCTCTGATTGATGCTAATTTCTTGTTGTAATGTAGCATCGACCGATAGTTTGGCTAAATTGCGATAGTCGGCGGCATTGTGGGAATTGTTCAGGAGCATTTCGACAAGAAGTTCACCGATCAACTCAACTCCCCCATTTAAAGATTGGGAATTAGTGAGCACGACAACCGCACTTTCGATTTCAGGGAGTAAAACATTGTAGGTGTTATACCCGGTGATGGCACCTCCGTGAAATATTGCGAGCTGCGATGATGCTCCTGTTCCAACAATAGGCCTGAGTGGATCGGGACCCCGGGAGAGCTGAGCGGGTAATTGGGCTCGTGCCCAGCCGAAGCCATAAGAGTGCTCTCTGATAGATGGGTGAGGTATATTCTGATGTCCTCTCCATAGCTGTTGAATATCCCGAATAACAGGCTTCTGGGGATTGGCCGACTCGCGCTCAGCACTCATGAAGGCTTGATAGAGGATTAATAGATCGTTAACAGAGCTTCGTATACCCCCAGCTGAGCCCATCAACACATCTTTCCCATATAGTGGCGGTGGAACAGAGATCATTGACCCATTCTCCAGCGCAGCATAGGGCTTAGCTTCGTGTCCACGCGTTTCTCCAGTGTAGTATGTGTGGCGCATTTTAAGCGGCTCTAGGATCCGACGTCGCAGGACATCCGCAAATGACGAGCCAGTCACCTTTTCAATCACCTGACCGAGAATCTCATATCCGAAGTTATTGTAGATGAATTGAGTTCGAAACGGCTGGACACCCGGCGCGTGGTTGAGTAGACGGATAGCCTCTGATCTAGGCAGATACGGGTCATTGTTCGAGGAGAGCCAAAGAGAGTCGAGAGCTGCGAGACCAGTGCGATGTGTGAGCAAATCGCTCAGAGTGATTTCGCCGTATATATCCTCGCGATGGAACACTGGCAATAGTGACTCCAGTGGAGTATCCCACGAAGGAATAGTGCCGTCATCGTGAAGTGAAGCAACTATAGCAGCAGTAATGCCCTTACTAAGGGATCCTAAGACATAAGTCGTGTCGCTATCGCAGGGAGTTTTGCTTGTGATGTCGGCGTAACCGAATGAAGCGGTGTGGAACTTCTTGTTCTCCACGACACCTAGCGATACACCTGGGATTCCCGAGATATTGCAAATATCTTGAATGATTGGGAAAAGAGTGGTCCACTTATTCAAATGCATTCTGTTTTGGTGAAAGGTTTGGGGAAGGTAATTGCGATAGGAGAAAGTGGTATGAAGGGGCTGGGATAGCTTAGCACACGGTCTGAAGTCACGGGGTAACGCTTGCATGAATACGATGTAGTACTAGTACAATATAATAGAGCATACAGGCATCTTCGGGGTCATTCCAAAGTTGCCTAAATATCCCCCCACATACCCCAAGGATACGAAGTACATAAATTTCACATTTCTATACATACCGAGTTGTGCCTAGGTGTTCTGTCCCCACCTCGTACGGCAGTCGAAGGCTAATATACTATTCTCCAGTTATTCAAACTTTTATTAAATCTTTTATTAGACAAATTAATTACCATATTAGTATAGACAATGGTAATAATAGTATTATCCTGATTCCTCGAATAAATATTATTTCTTTACTTCTTGTACCTTTAATACCCTTAATACCTAGTCGTACGGGCTGTATATTGGGCACGTAATCAAGACTTAGACCTTTGCGTGGTGTTTAGGATTACTAGCCATTTTAGTGAAACCAAAAAAGTTATTGGTGAACAGACGGCGTAAAATAACTATTAAAAATTACATGCATATGTAAGCCAAAGCCGGCAGAACTTGATCTCGTCCTTTTGGCTACTTCGAGAGTGGTCTGGTCATCTGACGCCAACGCAATATTACTACTGTGGTAATTCACCAAAGGGACCCGTTACTACCGATTTCCGTTTTTTGAAAGACTTAAAAGTTTAGGATGAATTGCATGTATAGACCTGCGTCTGGCAATCATCCACGGGTGACTCTCAGGGGGTTACGAAGACTACGAAGCACCCGAAGAGGCTATAAGTCGGAACCTCATCCACCCGTGTGCGGGGCGGGTGCGGTTTGGGTGGATGGTTCGGGGGGGGGGGGGGGGGGGGGGGGGGGGGGGGTATAATTTCTTTCTTTTCCTTAGCTTCTTTAATCTTTTTCTTTATATAGCACTCCTATAATAATACAAA